CCACATGCTTTGGTCAGCCTTCTGTAACTTTAATTAGTACAAAGGAACCTTTCCATGAACTACCTGCTGTTTTCTGATGACCTCTGGGATCTTTTCATTTAGCCCTATACAAAGAAACAAATATGAAAAAAGTCAATTCAGTCACAGTGTAATCTTCTGAGGCCAAAAGTCAATCTAAATGCAGTGAAGATTTGCTTTCATTTAAGACAGAGGTGAGAACGAAGTCTGCAGTGGAAGTTATGATAGAAAGCAACAAATGTGGATCACTGACCAAAATAATTATGTACTTGATGCAAATGCAGATTGCATATTGTTATATATAATACATTATGTTTTATTTTTTTCCCATTCAGTCTGTTTTTTTCTGTGGTGAATACATGTTGTTAGAAGATGTCTTGTATGGTCTTAATCTTTGTTGTGTACTATTTTTTATAGTCTTAAGTTATAATGAAAAAAAAAAAAAGTAGGAACCAAACATAAAAGGTCTAGTAAAGCCAAAAATTAATTTCATATTGATTTAAAGTGATCTAGGTGAGTTTTTACACTGAAAGCAAAGATATAGCAATTGTAGTCCATGGTATTTATTTTCAGTCAAACCAAAGTTACATATAATTCTGCCTCTGCTTATACGGGATATTAACACTAACAATACACTCCCTTTGGAAGACTTGCACAGGCCAAATTGTTGGAATGCTGGTTTTCTTGACAACTCCAAACCCAAAAATATGATAATGCGTTATGGTGTAGTTGAAAATAGCATAGTCAGATGTTTGCTTAAAACCTAGAAACTTTACGTGTTGCTTTTCATGTGCTGTGCCAAGTCTTGATAATACTTTTTCCCCCAACCAAGGGACCTCATAACCTGATTATGGTTATTGCTTTACAAACAGTTTTTGACAGAAGGTGGCTGCTAGAGCTTAACATATGTACCAGTTCCATGTGATGGTCCTGGTTCTTGCAAACTAAGCTCATCATTTATTCTTTGCTGAAGTCAGCAAATAGACTTAAAGATATACACAGTCATCTATCACGCCAAATAAAAGGACATAACGGCTTTCGAAAGGGTTTTCCCACTTACCCAAAAGGCTTTCTGAAAGCTTCTACCTCTGCAAAAGAAAAAAAAAACAAAAAAAAAAAAAAACAAAAACAAAAGAAATTAGAACAATTATGGCAGATTGCATGAATTGTGAGAACGTCACAGTAACTGCTACTTTTCATTATGTTTGTCTTTGGGTCATGACCAACAGAAGGTTTATGGTAATTACATCGAGAGAAGGATTCACCTTGTAAGCGATTGTTTTCAGTCAATCAGTCGAGATTCTGATGTGGGGACTACCTGAAAGGGAATGATGGGTGTTTCAAGTGCATGTTCAAGAGATTTTGAAGGACTGGAAGTAAATGTGGTAATTGTACCATCAGGAAGGTGGCCTAAGACCACAATGCTAAAGTATGCATACCTCAGTTACAAAACTTTTGAAAGGAAGTCTCAGCCACAGAATGCATATACCTGTAGAGTTTTGCATGGGTTTTATATAAATACAATTTAAAAAAAAAAAAATAGCTGCTTGCACATTATACCAGAAAAACCTCCAAAACTGCAATTGCTTTGAAAATAGATTTTAGGTTTTTTGGAGTTTTCTGAGATGCTTGGTCTGTATTTTGATAATTGTGCATATTATGTAAAAATGTTGGTGGACCCATAAATGACCAGACTTTTTCTAAGAAAAATGTTGCTTTAATGCATTTCATGAATTTTTACTCTTATATCATTGCTTGCTAGTAATAGCAAATCTGCTTTTCTGCATCTGCTTTGCGTAGCTATTGTAAGGCTTTGAACTAATGTATGTATTTATTGCTTGAACTTCTGTGCATACCTTATAAAGCATAATGTCTGACAATTTAAATGGCTCATGTATTCTTGCTTCTATCATAAGCTGAGGACGGGGATTATGATCTTTTGTATACAGCAAATTTTAACTGTAGCACAAACATCTGTTTATGTATTGGTGGGATATACCTGTTTTATTTATCTTTTTTGAGGTAAACTAATTTTTGATACTTTTCATTACTGTGTACTGTGTTCATACCTTGAATTCTCTGACGTTAGAAGTCATGGTTGAGAATTGTAACAGCTGTTATTCGTTCTGTATTCATGGCTTTCACTGCTGAATAAAATAAAGGACCAAACCTAGGATTTGAAAGAAAACTGTCTACCTCTAACACCAGGGAGTTATCAGATTTTATTTTACATAGTTTTAGTCTACAAAGTCACAATTGCTTAAACCTAGTGGGCTTAAGGCTTATATTCTGTGTGGTTGAATTCATGGCACAGTGGTACTGTTTGAAAATCAATTAAAGTTTCATGTGAATGTTACAAGTATTTGGTAGAATTACCACTAACTGGGTTTTCTTTAGATAAAGCAAATATGGGGAATCTGTCATCAGCATTCTGTGTCTACAGCTGATTAACTTCATAAGAATGCGTTTCTTTGTGATTAGGGAATCCAAGCACAGTCGGCTAGAATCAGAGCTACTGAACTGTACTTAGCAGAAAACAGCCCGGACTCAAATGTCCTGGGTCCCCCATAGTTTGATTTACAAATTTCCTCAAATTGGGTATTCACATTCTGGAAGTTTTTTGATTATTATTATCTAGCCTGCACGCTCTAATATTAATGTGCATTCTGTAAGAGTAGCTGTGTTATTGCTCTAACGCTATTAACCAGTAGCCCTTTTTGGCTCTGTTATTTCAAGAGTTCAAATCACTATGGAAGGGTTTTGTCCATTAAATTTGGCATATTTAGTGAAAAAGGATGTACATTTTGCTATACAATTGATGTATGACCAGTGTTTTCACTGCTGATGGATGTAAAAATGTATATGAAACCATTTCATTCACTTGCTTACGTTTCTGGATTATAAATAAAAAATATAATTCTTTTTGATCCATTTATAACCCACAGGGTTTTATTCTTTCTGGGAAGAACTTTCTTCCACCTTAAAGAGCTCAGTTCATGAAAGTATTTCTGTAGCCTGCTGTAGCTCTCCTATGTAGGGCTTGGGATACGTGAAGCATACATAGGTTTATTAAAAAAAAAAAAGCAAAAATCCAAATCATCAGTGACAACAGCACATTTCATCGTGTATGTTATTTTGCAAGATACAGAATGTTATTAGACATGTCAACCCTTCATGCAGCCACACCCTGCCTTGGTGGGGTTTTGCATGTGAAGAGGATTTGTTAAACTCCTTTTTAACTGTGATACTTAATAGAAAACTTGTTTCTTAAGAAGATTAATTCCTCCTAAGGCTTTTTTTTCATTTATATTGGGGTTTTGTTGCTGAATGGTTTTGGAAGGCAATAGATGAAAAGGTAATTAATCAACTGTGTCTTGTGACTTACCCACTCAAAAATTCTGCATGCATCCACTTGCACACATGTCCACTACTCATTGACTTGTTCAAAATGTTGGATGCCACAGTTGAGCAGCACGTAACAGACTCCTGCCTGGTGGCTCTGGCTCATCTAAAGAAATTATTTTTCATTATTTCGTGGAAGTGGTGGTGTTGGAGTTCTTTCAATATCATCAATAATGCTAGAATTAATTCTTAAGATATTTCTGTCCGAAGAGCTTAGTAGTAAATCATAGAATCATAGAACCATTTGAGTGGGAAGAGACCTTTAAAGGTCATCTAGTCCAACCCCCCTGCCGTGGACAGGGACATCTTTCACTAGATCAGGTTGCCCACTATGTTATAATATCTCTTACTTAAGTTCTCAGAATAGCGTTTGTGTATTGACTTAAAAGAAATACCTGTAAAAACATACTTTCTATGTAACTTTCCCCTAAATAAATCAGACAGAACTCAAAAATATACGTTGTATATAGCTTGATGCAATTATAGCAGTTGTATCTGTATGCTAGAAAATGTTTTCCTTCAATTCTTCTACAAAGCAGAGAAATAATGACATATCCTAACTATAATGCTTTACTTATTAAGAAGCTGAATGGTGCTTTTACTAGAGAAAATGGAGGCTATGTCTAAGCATGTGGAAGATTTTTGATCCTAATGTATGTATCCAGTTGTAGGTGCATACATGCCGTTAAAATACACTTTATTGCTTTTTTTTTTTTTTTTGCTTTTAAAATAGAGCATATATTATATATATTTCAGAGACCGAATGTTATATTACAAACCTGCATTTGCAAACAGCCACTAACAAGCACATGGGAAAGAAGTTAAAACTTCGACACGTCCAACTGTGTTTGAACAACCTGGTGAGAATTGCTGTGCAATAAGCAGACAGAGGATACTGCATTATGGACCTGCTGCTCAAATCCTATCAATCTTCAGTTGCATCTCCAGCCCTATCGATACATTCCTGAGGAAAAAGCTGCTATAGGTTTTATCTTACTGTACGGGAGTAAATTTCTCTGCGACAGTTCTTTGATTCATATTCTCCTAACAATTTATATAATGGAAAAGTTGTATTTTCTCTGCATTCTGGGCCTCTCTTAGTGGCAAACTGGACAACAGAGCCTGGGCCTGAGATTTGTTACAGAAGTATAAAGTTTGTGGGGCATAAAAGTCAAGGGGAGTCAATGGAAAATTGGTCACATATAAACAATAATCAGGAGACTGACTTGACCTCTTAAATCCTTTCACAATTAAAGAAAAGGACCCTAAAATCAACAGATACTCTCCTTCAAACTTTATTTTGCCTTATAATTAAGTATGCATAAATAACAAGAATAATGTGAGCTTAGATAAATGTGAAGATATTTCAGTTACTTGCTCTCTACACAAGTACCCATAGGAAGAATGTTACCTCCGTGTCCCCTAGCAGACTGTCGAAAGTAATTTACAATGTATTTCTTAAAAGATATGTTTTAACTTCAATTACGTATCTGGAATGCGGAATACAAAATTATTAATGTGTCAATGTTAAATCTCTGAGAATCATGAGAAGCTAAAACTTATCTACTGAAACTGAATAAAGCAAACCAAGAAAAATTAATGGGCTCTAGTTATAGAAAGGGCTGTATATGTTAGTAGGATGTTGCTGAAAACCTTTCCACTATTGCTTCTTCCAAGCAATATAAAGACTGGGCCAGCAAATAATGAGGCAATCTGACTAATATTGCTACAAATTAAAACACTATATTGCAAGTTTTACCGTTGCTACTTGAAGCAATCGTAGACTGAATCAGAAGTAAAAAATCATAAACAAAAACAAATGAGCAAGAAATGAATATTAGGCAGGAAAGCAGGGGAGAGAAAAAGATGCTAGTCTAGAAAAAAAAAATCTTTATTCTAACTTTTAAGAATTACAGTAAGAATTTTTATCCATTGTGGAGCCAAGCAGTAGTAATAAGGGATACATTTATTGTTACAGTCCAATTTAACACCCTACACCTGAAACAATAGTGAAATCTGTGGAAACTATTCAAGCAGATCAAAAGCACTAAATGATTTCAATGAATGCTCTTTATTTAGGTAAGATTTTTAAAGACGCCTGAAGGCAGACAGCCTTGTAGTATCTAGCCAAATAAACTAATATGTCAACTAATATATCAAAGTTTGCCTCTCATAGCATAGCCATAGTCTGTGGCTAAATGAAAGAAAGTACCCGAGATCAGAATGTGGAAATCAAAGTGTAATAAAATTTCTGTGAGAAAATAGGGACAAAATACTACTAAAGGTTAAAAGCATTTTTAAGTTCCTGTATCAAAGGCTAATATTCTCATTAGATTCTCTCCATCTGTGTCAAAGCTGAAGCAAAAATAAAAGGTAAAATTTCTTTTTTTTTAAATACTACTTGTATTAGTAATCATGTGATCAACACAACTTTTCAGCACATTCTTACATCTTCCAAACTGTCTGAGGTCTAGAACACCTATTACAGGTAACAGAGCATGGGTGATAGTTACCAAAACCTACAGCATTGATACCTTGTTCACATTTTTTTCAGTAGTAAAAGTAGTGCTGTAATGTTTTGTATGCTTTTAAATTTTAACAGAGATTTTCCTCATATTTTCCATATAAGCATTGTCATACTATCTCATTTTTCCCCTTAGTCCCTATCGAACTAAGATTATATCTTTTTTAATACAGTGAGCATTAATAAGTGTACCTATATATATGTATATATAAGAAGCTTTATAATAACTTGGTTTGTGTGGATCTGAATCTAAACAAGATCGAGCAACACTGCCTAGCTTTATGGTTCATTTTGTATTTTAGTGGCATCTTTCCTGTCTTTAAAGAAGTATTGTACTGAGAAAGGAAAAATAGATTAAGATTTTCAAGGTCTTTCTGTTGATTCCTTTTGTCATATTTCTTCTCTCCTGTACAATGAATAGTTAGATTCAGTACAGTGTAGAGGGGAAACCTGTACTTCACATCACAGCCAAATCTATGAACTTTATTTCAGGATTCTTTTTTGTTTATTATATAAGAATATAGGACAGGCACTGAAATTAAATATTTATGTCATACACATGTTTTTGTCCTATTTTTTTCTGAGGTTATTAATAACCCAAGTGTTTTAGTGAGGGGAGGGTATTTTATTGCAGTATCATCATCACCTTTGAGCCTGCAATTCATAACCTACAGGTAAATGTCTGTATCCAGCAGAAACATGTGGTAGTTAACGAGATTCAGTAGATGCTGGAGTCCATCTGTGGACGTTTCTGGCCACTGAATGCAGGTATTCCCTCAGCCCAAGCCGGAATCCTAGAGCAGTGGTAGAGATTCTCCATCCACCAGTTGTACCTTGCATTTGGCTTCACGGCATCATTCCTGTGTGGATTTTCTTCTACTGGAAAACTCCTTTCATTATATTTCTGCTGTCTTGTTTATTTAAATATGTGCTCAGGTGAGGAAAAAAACCTAACACATTTTACATATGAAGTAAAAAACGACTCCTGTTCTGTTTTTCTCATGTTTAAGAAGCTACTGCAAGTTCTGCTATAAGGTACTTCCTATGGTTGACAGGCCAGCTAATGTGATATTTTATTTGTTGAGAAGTGGATGTATCTTACTCAAAATCTGTAGTAATCCTTTCAGAATTTAATTATTTTTATTTAACTTTTATGTTCTTTAATGCAAGAAATATTTTAATAACATTATCTAATATTAATGATAATATACCTATATTATACCTATATATAATATACTATTAATATTACAATATTATATTATATGTTATCTATATATAATATATAATATTAATGATAATATATCTATATTATATATAATGTATAATATATTAATAACATTAACATATAATCTTATTGATTACTGGAATGTGTAACACAGACGTCCCAACATGTGTTGATTTCTAGTAATTATCATACAACACTGTGCCTAGACATGGTGTTAATT